TCTCCGGGGGGGGGGGGGGGGGGCTCTGTGCAGTACTGAAGGGGGACTTCTCCCCAACCTCCCTCTCCCCTCTGTGGCAGGGAGGGGCGCTCTGTGCAGGGCAGCCCAGCCCTAGATAGGGACTGTTCCCACCCCTCCACCCACCCGCGAGGTGGGGAGGGGTGGTCTGTTCAGTGCTGGAGGGGGACTTTTTCTCCTTCTCCTGACCCCACTGCCACAGGGTGGGAAGGGGGACTTTGTGCAGCACTGCCTGACCCAGCCCAGCCTGGGTACAGGGAGTGGCTATCACTGAGCCGCAGCTGCTGAGGGTGGCCCCGCACCCGTGGCCTGTACTGTGGGGGCAGGGCCATCCCTGGCAGCTGCAGTTCAGTGACGGGGAGGCTAAGCCCTGTCAGTGAGTGCAGCCTGGCCCAGCATCCACAGGCAGTTGCTGGCTGGGCAGTGGGCTACCCAGGCAAGCTCAGATGCACCGGTAGGCCTGAAAGCCCAGCAGCCACCTACCACAGAGGCTCACTGCAGAGTCACAAGCCCCTGTGCTGCCTCCAAGCCAGCCTGGGTAGCCTACTGCCTGGCCAGCTGCCACCCCCCACGCGCACCAGGCCAGGCTGCACTCACTGACAGGGCTCAGCCTCCCTGTACCTGAGCTGCAGCCGCTGGGGATGGCCCCGCCACCACGGCCCAGCTCTGCCGTGAGACTGCCTCGGCCATGGCTGAACAGGGCCACCCTGGGCTACAGGGGCAGGCCCACCCCCAGCAGCTGCAGCTCAGTGATAACTTCTCCCTGCGCCCAGGCTGGGCTGAGCCAGGCAGTGCTGCACAGATACCCCCCTCCCCATCCTGCAAGGAGGGGAAGAGGGGCAAAAGTCCTAATAGGGAGCTGTAAATGAAACTAGAAAGGCAAGAGAGGGCCAAAGCCTAGTTGTCTGCTTGAGTCTCTCTATATTCAGCCTGTGTTCAGTATTTACATTTCTATAAAATGTACCTTGCAGTTGTCCAAGTCGTTTGTTGGCTTCATTTAACTTTTCTTCTGCAGAGTATCTTTCAAGACCAGCATCTTTTCTAGCAATAGCTAGTTCATACTCCAGACCTTGTCGAACAGCTTCTCCTTTCTCAACTTCACATCGTAACTTGGCGATCTGGCTTTCATAATTAGACAGCTAAGAGAAAAAGTTTTGGGTTTTTTTTGTTTTTTTTTTTTAGAAACTATCAATGACACTATTTAAATAAAAGAAAACTGTTTAGGTATTAAACATTTCAATGAAGTATGCTAACAGACAGAAAATTTACTTTTATTCCTTCTTGCTGTTGCTAACTGGATTTTATTCCCAGGGAAGTCAGAGGTAAAAAAAGCTGTCAATGCACATTTTGCTTCAGGACAGAGGTGTCAAACTGAGGGCTCACAGGCCAGATAAAGCCCATTGGCATGGGCATCCGACCTGCTGTCTTGTCCCCAGGCTGGAATGAAGGAGCAGGGGAAGGAGTCATCCGTTTGCGAGGTTCATAACCTCTCATCAGACTAAGGCTGCTGCAGGGAGGTAGTGGTGCAGTACTTATTGCAGGTGCTGCCAAATTTACAGTTCCCCATTTCTTGTGTTCACTCAGAAGTGGGAGGATGAGCAACTGTAGCAAGGGCCATGCCAACATCTGACCCCACAGCAGCTCAAGCTTGAGGAGTGGATGCAAATCCACATTAATCCCTGGCTGCTGGCCATACTGACAGCTCCCCACACAGCAGTATCTACTGACATGATAGTAGAGCTTCTCATCATGGCTGCCAGAGGCCAAGCAAGAGCTATACTCCTAGCAGCCCTGACAATACCATGGTCAGAATCTACTGCTACCAGAGCAGGTGTGGCCCACAGACGCCTGCAAAGCAGGAAATATGTCCTATGGACCAATTTTAGTCTGCCACCCCTGATCCAAGACAAGATAATGAAATACGATGAATATTAGTCTAGCCACTGCAATCAACTTGTACCAGGTGGGGCACCCTAGGGTCACCGTGCTCTCCCCTAGTGCCCCTCCCCATGTCCAGTTCACCTATAAGGCACCCTTCCTTCTCGCCTGCCATGTCTTAATCATAAATATTTTAAAGGAGGCTACCTCTCGTCTTGTTGGTCACGATGCTCCAGCTACTCCGCGTCTTGCCTCTATAATGGGGTTCCGAACACCCCAGCCTTATGACCTACGCGTGGCTCCAACCATCCCTGTACCATGCCCAAGCCTAGCAGATATACCGGACGTTGTTTGGTCTCTCTCACTCTCTGTGCCCTCTGTGGTGCTTGGGCTCTCTGCAGCCCTTGTCTCGCAAGCACGCCCCACAGGCGCTCTGGCTTCTCACGGCCCCCTCTCTGTGGATCCCCTATGAGGCCTCCTCCAACCCCTTATAGCCTCACCCGGTCCTCCGGTTGTAAACTGTCAACACAAAACTCCAACCCCTTGGCTATAACATAAACCTAAGCCATCTCTATAATAACATTCGAGCCACTCCAGGGTTTCTCAATCTCTCACCAGTACTGCATCATTCATTCATTCAGGCCTCTTCTCTGTTCTTACTCTGACAGTGTTCCTACCCCTTTGGCAGGCAGCAGGGAACTGCCTGTCTGGCTTCAGCCTGGGAGTTATATGGGAGCGAGGCCCTGCCCCTTCTGGTCAGCTGACTCCCACCAGCTACCCTGGCAACCCGCAGCTGGGCTCCTCACTTACTGCTCGACAAGTAGCAGGCACCTGAGTGCCCTGCTACACAACCAATCAGTTTATTTGGGGGGGGAGGGGGGTTTAATTAACTGACCTAAGTTCTCTGCAAATCAAACATAAAATAATACATTTTAAATTATTTGTTCATTTTTCAGAAATCATAATAATTTCAGGAAAAGCTAATTTTCTAATATTGATCTCTCCCTCTCTCCTTTTAACAAAAGGCTGCTAATTACATCATAAATCGCGCCCATGTGTATATTTATTAGATTTAACCCTTCAGGTTGAACATATGTAAAAAACTAATTTCCAGCAACAGCATTAAACAGTCACATGGAGATAATTTAAAATTTGGACAACAAATAAATACCGGAAAAAACTCAAGGTAAGCTTTACCCTTAAATAAGATGCAGCATTCTTTACCCTAAACCCCAGCAAACAAATGCTTTGTCAGTGGGCCAGGGAAATGTGGTTGTCAAATGAGCTAATGGGCTCACAGGAAGACATTGTACTTGAAACTAACTAATTTTTGGGAAGCGACTAGTTTTCAAATTAGTGCTATTTTAAGACCAGAGTCTGACTTTATCTTTAAAAAACAAAACAAAACCAAACCAAAACTAACTTACTAAACCAGCTTGAACTACACTTTTAGGTGTACGTCTACATTGCAGAGTTCAACATAGTGTAGAAACACCCAGGACAATTTGGGTGCCACAATACTAGCACACAGCTCCGTACAGACTATTCTTGATAGCTTTATGGTCATGGCTAGGCTGCTTGCAGTACCTAGCTAGTTCAGATACCTCTACACAATATTGCAATATCAGCAACAAACTAAGAGAGCATTTTAAAAACAGTGCCCAGCCAAGATATACTGGAAATATATTTCAGCTTAGTGGAATACTGTACTTACTTTCAGCATAGTTTTGAAATATTGTGCAAAGCATGGTACAAAGGCCTTGAAAATCTTATATCATGTTTTGCAAAACTCTTCAAATCTTTTAGATTTTTATCAAAAACTGTTTAGAGAACAGATGGCAAATTCATTTTTTAATTGGAAATGTTTGCAAGCATTACCTACTACACCTTTTACCACTTCAGCTACAGTGATGCAAGCCTAGGGCTAGAAACGAACTGCTCACACGGACCCTGCTCAGCTGCATCTTAAAAGAGGGGAAAATGTGAAGAAAGTTTGATCGTTTTTGTAAGGTCTCAAAGATCCTTTGCATGCCTCATTTTCCCCACGTTCCTGTACGCTGTGGGTAACTGCACCTAGCTGTTTGGAATGGGCCATCAGGAATACAATGGGAACATTAAGCAATGGAAGGAACATCCTGGTGAAGACAATAGAAACTAACAACTGAAGATGGACTTCTAAACAGCTCTCACTAAGAGACAAGAATCAAAACAAACCCTCTGGAGAAAAACTGCACCACAACACATTTTCTAGTTAAAACTGATTCAAAGCAAAACCAACATGCAAAGAGCCCTTAAAGTAAGAAATGATTAATTAGGAAAACAGACTTGAGTTGTGGCTTCTTATCAGTTCTACCATTTGGCAATTTTGCATGTTGAATTACTATTGGAGGCAGTAATCCATACCCCTCTCCCATTCTAGAAATTTACACTTTGTTGGCTTCCACCTGAAATCTCTGACCAGAGTGACTATTAGCATCTAAAAAACTTATACAGAACTAGTTTCACTCGTTTCTTCTGCTTGGAAAAAAAGACTTTTGCAGGAAAGTCTTTTTTTTACACCAAACAACTCCAGGGTAAACAGACTATTCCAATATTTCTCTGAGCCTAATCTACATATAAAATGAACTGTTCCAAACAGGAGATTTTACCACATCTTCAACTCTCCCATGACATATGAACTTTCATTTCTACCCAGGAGAACTTTTACAATTTTTTCTCCTATGCCTGAAGAAGGATTTGTGCTCTAATGCTTTCAATTAAAGACTTTTTTCTTGCAAAAATCTAGTCAGCCTCATAGAAGATATCACCTCCATCACAAGTCCTAATGACTTCTGCAGGATGCATTTTCATGCAAGAGACTTCAGTTTTACTGTGAAGATTTTGCCAGATCTCACAGACATTTCTAATTTGACCAGATTTCAGGATCAGTCCCAAACTTTATCTAAATCAATGGCATCCTATCATTTCTACTACATTCATATAGCTTGCTCTACCAGTGACATCTGTACAGACTATCTGCACCAGCCATCCTGTTCCAAATGAACAAGCCCTCCAACTCTTTCCATTTTTAGGACAATTAGATATACTTCACAACTCATGCTACCTGAAATACCAAAGAATATGAATCTCCACAATGGTGATTAAGAAAAGAAAATAGTAACCCCTCACAAGGTAAAAAAGGTTCTTCACTTACACCTCAAACCTACAGAAAAGATCCACATAGCTAAACTAATGCACATGTACAGAAGTTATCCAATATCAAAGAGTCTCTGCATAAGCAATGGGTCCAGCCACACAGCACACTGCAGAATCATGGGCAAAGGCTCAATAGCCATTTACAAGTACTATGTAAATTTCTCTAGATGTTTATTTTCAGTCAGTGTAACCTCAACCCTTCTTCCTTGCATTTCATGATATTTAATTAAAGAGATTTAAAAATGTTCTTAAGGAGAGGTGGGGACTAGGAAAATAAAAACTTACATCTTGGTTATGTTTGGTCGTTATGTCCAGTTTTTCTTTTTTGGCTTGGTAGAGTTTCCTCCTTAGATCTTCCACAGTGTCCAATTCCAATTCACTGGTATTCTGTAATAATCTCAATTCGCTCTGGACATATTGCAAGCTGGAAAGGAAAAAAAAGAGAACTTTTTCATTAAACAAGAAGGATTTCCTTCCTGTTCACTTATTTTATTATTTTAATTGTAAAAAAAAAAATACAACTGAAATAACTCTGCAAGGAAAAATTCATTAAACAAAGTAAGAAGTCAGGTGAAAAATGGCTTTCACCACAAATACATTTATTAAAAAGTAGTTATGTGCAATTGCAAATACTCAGCCCATGCAACTTTGCAAGCATTTAAAGAAATCTATTGTGGTGGTGATTAGCATTACTACAGCTTCCAAAGAAAGGATGAGAACCATAAAGAAGTATAATAACTTTATAGTTTTGTTTCCAAAGCTGAGTAACAGGAAACAACATATGAAAAGCCCCTAACATCTAACAATTATGAAAATGGAATAACAACTTGGATTTTTCAAAATATATCAAGCTTAATTATTTTAAGATGTTAATAATTAAGAAATTGTTAAAACTACATCTAATTATCTTGATGGCATCACATGTACATTATGATTTAATATATATGGCCTTTCCATGAAAGTAGGAACAACAGGCATTATAATCTGGAATCAGGTCAATTATTTTTTATCACATATCATTCCACCACTACACCAACTTACTTAATAATATGGTGATAACAAGCATTAGTAGGACTCTGCTTGGACCAGGAGCAACAGAACCATAATAGCTATATTACTACTTTCAGGGTTACTATGGTAGCCACTCTCACAGAATTCAAAGGAGGAGGAGGTAAAAAATAACTCAAAGGGCAAAAGAAAAGCAACAACAAATATGCAACATAAGATTAATAAGTTTATATTAAATGACCACTAGTTTATAAAGAGATATTATAATAGCTATGACTTGTAAAGTAAGCCGGGGTGGACAGTAAATCAAGTATAAATATGGAATGTATGAATGTGTAGAAATAGTCTGAGCTCTCATAAGAAACTGGCCAACTGCTTGCTGGTTGTGGGCAGCACAAAAGTTTTGGGCTTTGGAGTTATGTTTTTAAAAGAGATGAGCAAATTAGAAACAGAGACAACCCACATTTGGATAACACAGGAATAGCTAAAGCCAGCAAGCTCTACAAAGGTGAACACTCACAAAAATACACAAAGGATTATTTATCAGAACAAAGATTTATAGTAATAAAAGATTTTGTAAACAGCAAGAACAGAAACTATTAAATTAATTTACTGTTAGGTCTAAGTGCAAAATGCAATAACTTCATTCATCATTGCATTAGAATTCAAAGATGACCAAACAGTCTTGTTCAAAACTTCTAGGATTAAATACTGGGATAATCACATTTTAAACAAGTGTATTTTTTACCAAGACCATCTACAAAATGTCACCCTTAGAAAACTACTAAAATTCTTTACTGAAAACAATAGGGTGAAATAGCTATTGAACATATTGCTCTGTAATGTGAATATACACAATACTAGTAACTGAAAAAGGAAAAAAATCAATAAGCCAATTAATCAGTCCTGCAATCCTACTGGTTAGAATACTGTAAACATCGCTTATGCTTTTTTCCTTCCCCTTGAAAAATAATTATACCATACAACTGTAACTGTTACAACCATTAAGTACTTTTCTTTCACTTGTTAAATAGCTTTGGGATTTTTCTAGGCTTTCATAGTCTAAAGGGACATGCCTTAATGAACTATCACATTTCACAGGAAAACAAAAACAAA